AAAAGTAAGAGAATTATACATATTTGGAAAATGGGCGTAGCCACGCCCACTTATGGTTACATGTGTATATCTTGGTAACCGCTGCACCAATTTCTTCCACACTTGACACAGTTATTGGGCTTGCTACAGCATACCAAATGGCTGAAAATTTTTAAAATCGGACAATAACCACCCCCACATCCCATATAACGGTAATTTAGAGAAATACAAAATCTTCGATAAATCAGTAAATATTAAAGCTAATTTATTCAAAATTCTTTACCAGGAAATGAGTTTATGATAAAATTTTGGAAAATGGGCGTGGCACCGCCCACTTATGATCACATATATGTATCTCGGTAACCGTTCTACCAATTTGTACCAAACTCAGTATGGTTATTGCCACATAAAACCAAAACGCTGAAAATTGTTGAAATCGGACTAAAATTATGGCCGCTTTTCATACAACGGTAAATTTCAGAAATGCTTGAAACTTCAATATTTCGAAATTTAAGGACGTTACTTTACTCAAAATTGATACATCCCGGCTAACCATGTGGCGGTGGCTTTCGGAAAGGTGAAAAACATATATTTAATACTTGCGCCGAGTATTTAACTTTCGGCTCTGCCCGAACTTAGAATTTCTTACTTGTTCTGTTTGTATTTTTCTAAAGAAATGTGAATCCCGTTCCAAAAAAAAATTAATTTAACAAGAGTTTAACTAAAGGGGCAGGCCGGGTTTAAACTCGCGCTGACATAGTGCTGTGAAAAGAATATCTAGAGCTAACCATTGTCAGAATTGTTTGAACTAAATGAAGGTAAATCCGATAACTTTGAGAATTTGGAAATTGAATAGCCAACACAAGCCAAGCTTAGTAAACTACAACGACACGCCTACCTGGGCATGACTGGTGCGATGAGAAAACAAACCGAGGCTCTCGAGACGCTTCTAGAGCTGCCTACTCTACACATTGTAATCAAGAGAGAAGTGATACTACTGTATACCTTAAAACAAAATAGGAAGCTTATACACCATTCGACCCTCAGGGTTATAAATAAAGTGAATAACTTTAACCCGTGCCGACTTTTAGTTGAAGTTTTAGTTAATAACTTGAATTAAGGGAACCAAATCGGCCATGAAAACTTTGGAAATGCGAAAAAGTCGATATGTTTCCCATATTTGAATGTATTTCTAGTATATTTGCATCTTTAAGTTTATAATATAACGGCAGGATTTCTGCCAAGGACATCGAAAAAATGAATTAATGGAAAATAACCTTTGAAATTTTTTCCTTTAATATTTTTATATGTATAAGAAATTTTTATCAGTGGCCTTTGAAGAACATAATTTCACGAAAGTACGTGTGTACTGACAATCTTACAAATACGCGTAAATAAGTACATACATATTTATATGCTGATGTCACATATAATTCAAGGTATTCCACCCTTTTATATCAATAATAATTCCATACATATGTATGTAAATACATTCTCGCATAAGTAAATTCATTTATCATATTTGTGCAAAATGATGACTGAATTTTTATTTAGCTTATAAAGTAAATGCTTAGTGCATTTGTTTCCAAGTAAATACTTATGCGTGTGCCATTGAATTCTTTCATTTTCCCATACATTCAAGTTCACATTCCTTTGTTGCACGTATTACTTCCGGCTGTTTCGTTGCCTACAAATACTTTAGGAGGTAAAAAATTTCCAGTAATTGTGGCACCATCAAAGCAGAAACGATTTTATGAATAAACAAATGTGCATAACTACATACAACTTTGCGTAAATATCCATAAAAGTTTGCGAATACGGCTGGCCGCATGAATAGTCGCCCCCATTGGCTCGCATGCTCGCATACGAGCGTAAATATACATATACATAAATACATACATATGTAGGTTACGTTATGTATACTATGTAGTCTTTATAATATATATACTTTGCTTATAATATGATGATTCTATGCACACTTTGCCTAAAACTTTTCCACTTTTTTCAATTCGAGGAAAGAACTTCTAAATTAATGTTTATAGCGAGGAAAGTAAAAAAAAAAAATTACGTAAAGTTCAAAGTACGGAGGCGAGTTGATGACGTCTTCATCATTATGCTTCGTCTTCTTACCAAATGTACTGTATCTTGCTTCGTCTGAGCCTTGTAAGCTTTTTCCGCTTTATGAACGCGAAATCAACAAAATGAGCAAATGAAATCAAAACAAAAAAAAACACAGCGAAAGCCGAAGAACGTATAAAGAAAGTGAAATATGTAAAACGCCAAGAGTGTTGGCAGTGGAATTTGTCCCAAAGGGCAATAAAAAATGCGTAACAAATTAAGAAGAATTTCCTTTTGACTTCCCATCAAAATGGTAGTTTAACGCATATTTTTTATATATTTATGCAGAAAAGTTTATATAGTTATTTAAACGTAAGTATACACAGACTTAAGTAATGTATAGAGAATACATGGGCAAATCTCCAGAACGGAGTTTATGTTACTCACCTCCAAATTTAATTTACTACTTAATATAACTTAATTTGTTATAAGAATAGCTGGTTGAATTTGATATTTTTATTTTAGCATTGTAATTAAAATTTTTATAACAATTCCACATAATTTTGATAACAAATTTGACGTATTACTTTGTGTATCTTTTATACTTTTAGTCTTTTAAAGGGTTGCCATATATACGAAAATCAAATTCAAATTATTTATTAAGTTAAACGAATTATCCCAATATGGGTATCAAAAGAAATGGTTTTGAATAAGTTGTATTTTCTAGCTAAATTTAGGAGGGTTGCCACCTGTTTCAAAAGTAAAATTTAGTTAAATTATACAAAAGTATTACACTTAAAATACTATACAATACAGAAAGAGCTTACAGAAACACAATTAAAATATTTTTGAGGTGCCTGAAGAGGGTGGCCACCTGTTTAAAAAGTTAAACTCAAAATATTGAAGCAAATCTTATTATTATAGCTCCGTTATGTTTGCGATAAATATTTAACGCCACGGTACAGGTAGCATATGACGGGTATAGAAAACGAATAGCTGAAGATGAAGATGAAGATGAAGATGAAGATGAAGATGAAGATGAAG